ATACATTCCTTGAAAGAGCATCAAAATGAAGATTACAATTAACTGTTTGAAACAATGAAGATGAAGAGCATTGGACGAGAGTATCAAGACCCTATACCTCATTGCATGTTTGCAATGTTTCAAATCAAAATACAGTTTTGGCTAAACTTACTTTTATAAGAATTATTATTTGCGTAGATACATTTTTCCTGCTTCTAAGCAAAACAAGTTGTTTTAAAAGTGATTCTTACCTTATTAATTCTACTCTTACCAATAAAAATAATCTTATTATGAACTTGCTTATTTACTAAAGTAAAGTTTTTAAGCGTCGTGCTCATTATATAATAATCATATTATCTAATGTTTCAGATTCAATTGAAACCTCGTCAAATATATAAGTTACAGACGTACTTGTTCGGGACTGCCTTGGTTTTATCAATGAACACTTCTGCTTCTTCAGAACTTTCACACGCTTCTTTGGAGCCAGAGTGCGAATAGCCATAGTCAGGGGAGAAGTAGCGCCTGCATTCAAGAAACCAGAATCATGAAGATAAAATTTACTTGACGGCATCTTTTTCACAATGAGACAGTAGTCATTATCTGACTAACAAAACAAGATACTAGAGAACTTATCATGCAAACAACGGAAAATATGCCATCTATTTGAGAGATGAAATTGGAAATCAGAGAGAGATAAGCAATGACAATATAGTAAAAAATTGCAATTCTTATCTGTATCAAATCTCTTACCCCGTGACAATCTTTTGGAATGCTTAAAATACAGAAGGATAATACAATATACTAATTCCCAAATAATTCACAAGTTATGTTCAAGATTTTATTTAAATTATTATTTAAGTCCTCTCTAACACATTTGAACCCCAGTTTTGCTTATTATAATATCATGCTGGTTTTCAGCACATTATAAGAAAAGTATACTGGTATAAATTAGAATGCACCAAACACCGGGATCCATCAAGTCTGAAGTCACATCAAACGTAATGGATGTTGAACACTCTTCTATCATCCGACATCTGCTGCAATCTGAAGGAGAATGAAGCTTTTATATAAAACCCACATTTTGACCATCATTCCTTCCAATTGTAGAATGTATGGTAGTTCGTAGTTTATTTCCTTATTTTAAGCTATGTTGCATTTGTTTATTATTTATCAATGTAAGAGTTGTTGGCTAGTACTCTATGTAAGAAGTATGGTTGTCTGATATTAAAAACACGTCAAGATC